GTACAGCAGAACCTAACACAACATTGTAAATCAACTATACTCCAATAAAAACTGTTTTGAAAAAGAAATATTTCTTCTTTGTTATTGAAAAGATATGGGGGGGAAATATAATTCAGAACAGCCTACAATTGCCTAGCTCATACAGCCAAACCAGGGGAATTATCTGAGTAAATTGACATCATTTGACATATCAGCAAAAAGCTATCAGCCACTCTTACCCTGAAAGCTTAAATCTCCTTATTTTCTCAATTCTCCTTAAGGATACATATGATTTCTTGTTTCTTTGTTTTGTTCAGTCTGATGGTGCATTGCAAAATTCAGAAGCTTTTTAAATAGACTTTTTTGGTCTCACTTTTTATTTCTTCTTATTTATTTTTTTCTTTTAGGTCTCACTTTTTAAAGTTAATTTGTATTTTTATATTTACACATGGATTAGTCTTAAATATAGCAAGAAGTCTCCTCTAATCATGATCTCCCCTGGAGATGGCATAGAGTAGACATTGTGAAGAAGGAAGGAAATGAATGAAGGCATCTGTTCCAACTTATGATGTGTTCACGTAAATGCACTTTTTTTTTTTTTTACATTTTGAACCAGTTTTCTTTATTAGCAAAACTTCTTTCCCAGATATGTTTCTTTATGATCTTCTTTTTTTCCATTTATTTTTATTAGTTGGAGGCTAATTACTTTACAATATTGTAGTGGTTTTTGCCATACATTGACATGAATCAGCCATAGATTTACATGTATTCCCCATCCCGATCCCCACTCCCACATCCCTCTCCAACCGATCCCTCTGGGTTTTCCCAGTGCACCAGCCCCGAGCACTTGTCTCATGCATACAACCTGGGCTGGTCTGTTTCACACTTGATAATATACATGTTTCGATGCTGTTCTCTCGAAACATCCCACCCTCGCCTTCTCCCACAGAGTCCAAAAGTCTGTTCTGTACGTCTGTGTCTCTTTTTCTGTTTTGCATATAGGGTTATCGTTACCATCTCTCTAAATTCCATATATATGTGTTAGTATACTGTATTGGTCTTTATCTTTCTGGCTTACTTCACTCTGTATAATGGGCTCCAGGTTCATCCATCTCATTAGAACTGAATCAAATGAATTATTTTTAATGGCTGAGTAATATTCCATGGTGTATATGTACCACAGCTTCCTTATCCATTTGTCTGCTGATGGACATCTAGGTTGCTTCCATGTCCTGGCTATTATAAACAGTGCTGCAATGAACATTGGGGTGCATGTGTCTCTTTTAGATCTGGTTTCCTCAGTGTGTATGCCCAAAAGTGGGATTGCTGGGTCATATGGCAGTTCTATTCCAGTTTTTTAAGAAATCTCCACACTGTTCTCCATAGCGGCTATACTAGTTTGCCTTCCCACCAACAGTGTAAGAGGGTTCCCTTTTCTCCACACCCTCTCCAGCAGTAAATGCACTCTTATATGTTCAAACAGTCTTCACAAGGACAGAAGGTATTAGTCTTTCTCAAAGTCAACTTCCAGTTAACCACTGAAAAACTTGAACAAAGTTTTAGGTACATTTTCTTTTTCAATGCAATTCCAATTTTCTCATTTCTCTAGACCTGTAGTCATTATTTCATCTATATTTAAAATCAGGTAAAGTCCTAGTATTATCTTTCAAAAGTTGGGTTTGAGAAGAAAATTATCCCTTGTATCATTTGCCTTTTAAATGATCATGCACTTAGATTAAATGTTTCTCATAGAGAAACAGCCCAGAGGCAGAAGGTTGGAGTCTAATTCTTCATGGACTTTAGGGTAGTAGTATATAAATAAAACCTGTTTACACCAAATTTCTTCCATAAAATCCACAAGGAAGAAAATGCAAACAAGAATGAGAATTTTGTTAGAGGGAAGTCAAAATAAACTAGAAATGATTTTTATAACCATGTATTTCTGTGTCAAATAATATACTACAGAAGCATAAAAACCTCAAAGTTGAAAAGAAACTTAAAACCTCATTCTCCCTTCAGGGTTTAAATACAAAGTAATTGCTTCAGTCCCCCACCCCCACCCCCAAAGTGTGAGAAAATATATAGTTTTCTTTAGCATTTTGCTTACTTTTCCTCTTGAGACCCTGGGATAATAGAACCTGCAAGGAAGGTTTCCTTCCCTCTCACATGACACAGTGGGTGCTGTGGAGCACGCGAGTGGAGACGCCCTCTGTCCTCTGCGCCATTGCCTACGTGGTCATTCCTTGCCCCAGTTGATGCAGCAGTCCATCCCTTCCATCCCTCTGCACCTTTGGGCTTCCAGCTTTCTCTTTCAGACTTGTACGTAAATACCTGAGTGAAGCCCTGGCTCCTGGACTCACTACCAAACTCTCCACAGGGATGCAGGACCTAGAGAGCAAGGCACACACAGGTCCCCTTGAAATTGTGCAAATCTTTCTTTGTTTTGCTATATTCTTGGGGTGTTGTCCAGGAGGCAGCAAAAGGACCCCTTTATCCAGAAGGTACAGATGTCTGTATCTTATCACTTACCCCTGACTTCTCTTCTCTACCATCCTCAATTCCAGGGAAGCTTTTTTTCTACTGAGGGGAGATGGTTTTCCTTCCTCAAACTGTCTCAAACCTTTGACTAACCCAAGCTTTCCCGATGTTTGGCTCATTCAAGGCTTCTCAGTGTTTGGCTAACCTAAAGTTCCTCAATCACAGTGTTACTGATATTTTGGACCAGATAAGTCTTTGCAGTGGTGGGCTGTCCTGTGCATGACAGGGTGTTTAGCAGCATCCCTGGCCTTTACTCACTAGATGCCAGGAGCACCCACCGACTTTTGAAAATCATGACCAAATATCCAGTAGGCTAATCCCAAGAGTTCCCTCTGCCTTTCTAAGCCCTTGGTTTTGATACACAAGAACTGGAAAGGGGCTTACAGGCTATTTGCTTTCCTTTGAGGTAATGAATGCCTTCACCCCACCTTCCCTGAGGCAATACATGTGAAGGAGCTGAGCAAGGTAAGGAGGGAAGAGGAATTAGATGCACTGCTGTGATATGGTTAATATTTCAAGTGTTATCCCATCTGTGATGCTCTTTCTCACCTGTTGCCTTAAAAGGTACACCGCTGGTCATTCTAGCACCTCCTTTGTGTGGATATTACCTTCCTTCTGTATGTGGGCTGCAGTGAATACACATATAGAAAGAAATTAAAAGGGAGCAAAAAGGGATTTAACCACTAAGTTCTGATCAGTACAGAGGACAAAAGGATTACTGTTTATGCCCAACACACGTGCCTAGAGCTATATTTCTCAATATTGAACTTCCTTCCAAATTTAGAATTTACACTCACTCTAGTGAATATACAGAGAGGCTTAGGTGTTGAAGAGACAGGTAGATCAAAAACCTTGCATTCAATGCCTTTAACCCTTGTATGAGTCAGTTCAAGGAAATTGATGAGAACCAGCAATAACTGACAGAAAATCTTACTTCAGTTCATTGCCCAGAGAGATTTAGCTACTTCTCCAAGTGCTATATCTCTTATTTATTCATTTATTATATCATTCACTCATTTAAGTTTGGAATTAAGTGGCTCCTACAAACCCAGGAGATAATTAGCCATTACAGATTCATATAACACCATGCTGGAGATTACAGTTTGAGTTCTATGAAGGTCACTAGGCCTTTATTCTGCCTATTAACTAACTTATTGCCTTGACATAAATGGGGATAAACACTGGTTAAGCCAGAAGCTAACAGGGAAGATATTTTAGCTTCTAAAACCTCATGCAGGCTACAGTTCAGGGGGCTGCAAAGAGTCGGACATGGTTGAGTGACTATGCACAACTGCCTCAAAGTTATCATCACTATGAATACAAATAATTGTTGGGATAACTGATGAAAACATCAGTTTAGTATTATTTTCTGAGTTACACTGCAAAAAAACCTCAACCACTGTTTTTAATGTAGCAGGTAAGCACTAATATTGATACAGTTTTACTCTGTTTCAGGCTCTGTGTTGAACAGACCATGTCATTTAATCCTCATGACTACCCCATGAGGTATACTATCAGATTCCCCTGAAAACAGAGCTTGAGATAAGGGCTTTATGTGGTTGGTTTTGGGGAGGTAATCCTTGAGGGCATGAATGAGGATAGAGAAAGCCCCACAGAGCAGGAAGGGGAGTCAATAAAAGGCTGCATTAATCAGACACCGTACTGGACAATAGGGACTCAAGCTGCTTGACCTCCTGAGAAGTAAAAAGATGCCTCCCACAGTTGTCCAGCAGAAAGACAGGAAGCAGGGGCAATTATCCACTGATGCCCATGCCCCACTGGTCAAGCATTAACCCGCAGAGCTAGGGAGCTCTCCCAGGGCAGAAAGGAGAAAAGCAAGGCCTTGAAGGCTCTCAGGGAGATAAATGGATGCAGCCAACAATGGCCCACAGCAGACATGGCTAAAATTAGAGGTGAAATATGTGAGTCGGGCAACAGCAGCTTCTGACACAGCTATTATCTCCCCATTTTACAGAGGGGAAACCAAGATACATGGAGATTACCTCACCTGCTCAAGATAACAATGTGGGTCAATGGTAGAGTCAGAATTCAAACACTGACCATCAGACTTCAAGGCCATGGTCCCAACCATAAGGGGTAATGACAGCTGCACTATACTCTTCCCAGTGTAGCTCCACCTACAGGTTTAGGTAGTCCACCCACCAAATCTATTTGGAAACCAGGTTGGGGACATTTATTCAAACACTGCACTTTCTTTTTGGTAATTCACTTTTCAAGTTGCAACAACATAAGAAAATGCTACTAGAATGCTGTATCTACATTTTGGGAAGAAAATAAATACCTTTCACTTGAGATCATGCAGGAAGAGAGAGGTTCAGATAGTATACCACTTGTAAGGGGAAAAAAAAATCACTCATACAACTTTTTTTGAGTTTAGAAACTGTTTTTTGATTTTTTTTTTTTTATTAAAACATAATTCTTCAAAGAGTATAGAAATACACCTGGCCATGATCTGTTAGATGTCAACCAACCGCTTCAAACATATACAAGAAATATCTACCAAATTCTGGCTCACCAGAACTTATTAAGTTGTACATATACATTATTGGAACATCAACGTGGTTACATTTGACAAATTCTTCTAAAGTGGACACAATTTTCTGACAGATTATGTTCCTTCGTGATGAAAGCTGTGACAGCTGTGAATGTTTGAAAGGTAAACTTGAAGGGCCACAGGGTGAAGCATCAGGACATGGGGAGTCACAGAGGGCACGCAGGACCCTGAAAGAGAGGGTGGCAGGCAGGCCCCTGTTTCCACTGTGAGCACACAATGTACAGACGAGACAAACACGAAGAGGAAGGCACTCCCATCTGGGGAGAAGGGTCTTTGGGTTCATGGTCGGGAATCACAAGACAGCACACCCAGGAAAGGACAGGAAAAAGAAATTCCCTGCACACAGTCTGACCTTCCTCCAAGGGACAAGGGCCAGTGTGGTTCAAGGAGATCTACGAGGACCACTGCCTTTGGGATGAGCTGCTTGCCACTGAGTATGCCCCCTCCCTTCAAGCTTGCTCAAGGCACGGGATTGGCTCCCTTAGGTACAATAAACAAGAACAAAACACCCATCAGAAAAGAGCAGAGCTGGTGCTTGATTTGCTCTCATTAAGAGTGAAGTGTCATCTGTACTTTGAATTCAGCCTGGTGAAACCCACCTCAAAGTGGTCTCAAATCACTTGTGAGAGCCTCCAGGTGACTGATCAGTTGAGGACATTGTCCTCCCTCTCCTATCCTGTCTGGCTCCTGCTATAACTTCATTGGGAAACAGGAAGCCAAGAGCTTACCTGGGCTAGGTGTTGCCTTGGCATTTTACAATGATGAATTCCTTCTCTGTTTTGTTCCTCCTTTATGCCCAAAATGAAGGGAGTCATACAAAGAGACTGAAAATGAAACTGGCAACACCTGGGGTCTGGAGTCTTCCTTGGAAGAGAACCAAACATTTCCCACTCTTTTGGGCAGAATCACCTCTCCTAATCAAGTATTTTTAGCTTGACATTTCCAGAGGCCCCCATTTATACTAACTTTGCCTTTTTAAATGATTTTTAATTCCAGAAGTTGGCACAAGATCATCATTTTCAATATCCTTTACCCCTGCTGATTGCTGCATAGAATCTTTCTCATGAGATCATCTGGGAAGATTAAAGACTACAGACTGTGGGTATTTCTCAGTCTTTCTTCTACACTTCTTTCACATTTTAAAATCAATCTAATTTTCTTTATGGTCACATGGCTCCATAATTATCTTGGGCTTCTCTTAGAGTACCTGCTCCCTTTGGCACTCCATAGACACTCTCCTCAATGTGTACTCTCTGCAGGGCCCCAGAACTGAGATATCCTCAGAAAATGCACACAAAGTTCCCTCCCAAGATCCATTCCCCACTACCCAGCTTTTGTCTCCACTGTGAGGAACATGGACTTTACTAAGGACTTGGATCACTGAGATAAACATATATATATAGATATACACATCCTCAATAAAGAGGACATTCGATTTTATATATAGATTTCCCTCTCATTCATAAGCACTTGGCCCACAGAGGAGGAGTAAACCCATGCTGAGTTGCAATGAGATCATACAAATCACAGGCCCAGTGAAAGAAGAGCAGGAATGTGGAAAGGCCTGTGGCTTCCAAGGATTCACAAGCCTTGCTAGGAATCCACCTTTGGGAAGATGCTCACTTTATTGTTTCTGCTCATCTTCCGTTCCACCCTGCCTACCTTGGGTATCTTTGTCTGGATCAGCTCTTCTGGGGTGTTACCCAAGGGAGGAAGCAGCCTCTTCTTGCTGTTTCGGGTCTCTGAGAGCCACTGGGGAGGCAACTCAAAAGGCCCAAAGCCAAACTGCAGGGAATACTTGTCGGGAAATGTCTCAGATTCCACAGACACTGCTGGTGCTACCTGGGAGATAGAGTCCACGGTGCCTGGGGGTGGTGCGGGAGTTGCAAACTGTGGTCCCAGCTCTGCCTCCAGGCAGGTGGGAAGTAGCTCCTTGGCCTGGAGAGCCCCCGAACCTGGGTACTTGGCTTCGCTCTCTTCCTCGTCGTCTGTGGGCTTGAAGATCTGCTGCTGCCCAATGTGGAACATCTCCAGGAGTTGGCTGCCCGAGCGCATGCTGGGCTCCAGGCTGGCGTCAGCCATCCCACTCCCTGTGCCCACCACGTTTCGGCGGCTGTAGCGGCGGTGCAGTTGGACCAAGGTCCCTACCAAGCACTTGCGGACAGATTTGTTCACAGTAAGAAAAAGCACAGGGTTCGCCAGCAGAGAGACTTTGGGCAGCCAGATGGCCGTGAGTAGCAAGAAGACGGACGTGTCGGGGACGTTGAGCACTGTCTGGTAGACGACCAGCGTGGCATAGGGCACGCTGCAGAAGATGAAGACCATCACCATGGACAGCAGCGTGGCATGCAGCTCAGCCTCCCGCTGGGAAGCGTAGGGGATAGAGATCGTGTTCTGTGGGGTCCGCAGTGCTGCTATGATAACCTTCTTCTTCTGGCTGGCGCTCAGGGCCCGGCGTATCAGTATTAAGAAGAAGAACGCGACAGCCACAGGCACGATGACCGTGGTGATGTTGTAGACCAGAACGTACACCAGGTGGCCCAGAGAGTGGCTCCAGACTTCCGTGCAGGTTGACATGGCGTAGATGTCGGCCACATTGGTCACTGCAAACCCAGGGACACTGGCCACCACTGCATGGGCCCAGATGTATATCACTAGTTCTCGGGACTTGGCATCAGATATTTTTCTCTCCAGCGGATAGAGGACTGAGTAGTACCTGCCAAAGGCACAAGCAAAATTCACTTCACAGAAGAAAATACACTTTAACTTAGGGGAATTCACATTACTAAAAGTAGGAGAGAGGAAAGAAAGGGTCAAGTTCTTTCATTCTGCCTCAGACAGAGGAGATCACTAGGAGAATTTGGAAGCTAGACCTTAAGTTTTGAGGACTTTGCCATACAATTCATTGTGAGCTTTATAATTATTGCCACCAGCACTAAATCCCAAAGAGTGCCCTCGATATAAAGGATATCTCCATCTGCTGTGAAAACACTCTTTTTCAATTTAAGGGTAAAGGGTAATTTGTAAAAAAATTTTACATGGGCTAGAGGAGCTTAAGGGCAATTTTCAAAACCATGAAGAGAGAGAAATTTGCACACAAATCCAAAGCAAACTCATGCTGCAGTATATATACATGGGTATCATTAACATTTACAGCTGCTGGGGCAGAAGAACCCAGTGTGAGGGATAGACTCTGACAAAGTCTTTCAAAATCAATTCCACTGAAAAAATTGTGTGGGCTCAGGAGCCATTTTCCATGATAATCGCTCAGGACCCCTAAGAGCAATCAGTAGATCTGAAATACTCGCACAGTTATATCTTTGTTAAAATCAGAGATTTTTTTTCCCTTCAAGCTTGACTTGATTATTCTATAACCACCTAATCAGAATTCCCAAAGCACCTTGTTTCAATATCACCTATGATTTGGGGAAACTGAGTAATTTGTTAAACCCCTAGAACCACATCTGTCTTGAATGGGCAGTCAGTAGCCCTCAGAGATACAGCAAGTTTCTTCACCCTTAGCTCACCCCATGTCTGCGCAGTCAGCTAACGCTGGAGTTGACCTTCCAACCCTACTAACATGTACTCCCTCACAGGGCCACCTGAGCATGTGTGATTTCCTGTCACAAGGATTTCTAAGTACCACCCATGTGCTACATATTGTGCCAGGCACTGGGCTGCAAAGATGAAAGGATACACAAGAATGTTTCTAAACTACATGGGGAAAAAATGGCATGTAAGCAAACAATTATAACAGAGGAGAAGATGACTCTGCTGGAGGCATGCACAGAGGAGGTAGGGGAAAGGGAGCACCTGGGAAAATGTCAAGAGAAAGTGGTGCTGTGGTGGAGTCTGTCAGGGGACAGGCTGGGGGAGAGACGATGCAAACACACGTGACCATGGATGACCAGAGATGGATGGAGCACGGTAAAATGTATTCTAGATCACTTTCTGGGAGGGGAAAAAAGAGAAAGAAATGTATAAGTTATGTACACTCTCAATTTTTTTCTCTCTGAATATAGATAAACTTTTCTAAGCATCATTTAACAAATCCAATGTGATGGACCCACACCCACACATGAATACATGTCCACTATCTCTGATTCCCATTTGCTAAAAGACATGTAACGAACCCCAGTTTCCCATAATTTCTGATTCCATTATATGTTGGGAAATAGACGCAACACGAGTGCACAGGTTCACTATACATCATTTTGTTGGAGTGTACGTGTCTAGGGAATGATGCAGAAGTGCACGTGGCCTCCCAATTAACTTGCTGACTTGGTGCCATGAAACAAATATCTGAGAAAGAAGCGAGAGAAAGGACTATTCTCCTTTTGTCTTCAAGTACACCACACGCTTTTGAGTAATCACTAAATAATGAAATAGGGATCTACCAACCTTGTTTTTCTGCTAAAAGAACTTGCTTACCTTTTTTAAAAAAATAGGAATTTGATATTAACAGATGTGCTAAGCCATTTAAGTCATGTCTAATTCTTTGCAACGCTATGGACTATAGCCTGCCAGGCTCCTCTGTCCATGGGATTCTCCAGGCAAGAATACTAGAGTTGGTAGCCATTTCGGGAGATCTTCCTGCCCCAGGGATCAAACCCAAGTCTCTTATGTCCCCTGCATTGGCAGGCAGGTTCTTTATTACTAACACCACCTGGGAAGCCCATTAATAGATGCACAATACTATATATAAAATAAACAACACAAATAAAGACCTACTATACAGCATAGGGAACTATATTCAATATCTTGTAATAACCTATAATGGAAAAGAATCTGGCAAGATTTTTTATATATATATATATGTATGTATGTATGTATATATATATGTATCACTTTGTTGTTCACCTGAAACATTGTAAATCAACTATACTTCAATAAAAAGATAAAGTAAAAGATACACTGGAAAAAACTTTAAAATGATGGCAAAAATACAGTAGATTTTCTGCTGGAAAGACAATACGGATTTCTTATTATTTATGTATTTTCTTGCCTAAAACCAGAGGCTCAAAAATAACCCACAGGGATTATTGCACTGTTCTAGGTGGAATAGCAATCTGTCCTGAATGACGTGTTTCCACTCTTGTTGCATCCAATTCTTAAAAAAATTCAGGATTCATAGCAGCATTATTCATTCACAACATCCAAAATGTAGTGACAACCCAAATGTGCCTTAACTAGTAAACAGATAAATAAACTGTGGTATATGTATCCAATGGAAAATTATTCAGCAATAAAAAGGAATGAAGTAAGTTGTTAGAAGAGTAGGTC